ACCTGACACATTGCTTTACCACATTAAGGTTAAACCCATCTACAAACTACATTTGCGGTGCTCATGAGACTGTAAACCCTCTCCATGCAGCTCCGTCAGGCCTTCATTGTGAATGCAAAAACATTTCACCAGCACAAATAACCCACGAATAATAATAATAATAATAATAATAATAATAATAATAAGTCTGCCTTTTTAATAGAAATTCCTCGCATACTCAGGATTACTTCAGCCAGCAATTTTTAATCTTTATCAGTAATTACATCAGTGCATGAGCAAGATAACAGCCAGGGACTTGAGTTCTAAACTGTCGACTCACTCTCAAACACAAAATCCACATTTTCCTAAACAGTATGGCTTTTATTCTTTAGCTGCACAGTTTAGAACTTCTAATTCATATTTTTCTTCATTATGCAATTTTATAATGTGTATTAAGCGTTAGCCACACATCTTTGTGATGATCTTCGCATTTTAGTGCACATCTTGTGCACCAACCAATTACTTTCATTACCGTTTTAAAGGTGTAATTTATTGTAACTTATATTTATTTCTCTAACATGTTGCTTTGTCAATAAAGTCACAAAATTAGATTTTTTTTTATTCCTAAAAGCCGATGTCATCTGTTTTCAGAGATTGTTTTAAACATCCAAAGATAAAGAAACTTTCAGCTGCTCCCTTATATTTTTAGCCTTTATTTTTATGCTGGATGTCTCCTTGTGGAATTGTGCAATGAGTGGGGCCTTTTTAATGTTAGACTACATAGCTAACAAATAAAAGGCAGCAAGTTATCCAAGCTTCTTGTGGGCATCTTGAAAACTGCAGTGGTTAACACACACACACACACACACACACACACACACACAGTGCTAATGCTGACAGTGTAGGAACATAAATATGCAGACAGCTAGACACATTTCAACCAACGAGTTACAGTTTAAAAGCGGAGGAGTTACTAATTATCAGTGAGCAAGTTCTTTTATGTTGTTATGTAATCACTCACAATGCTATATAATTAAGACTTTTTCTAAACTATAATCCAAAGCGGTCTCAATCTCATCCTTATTACTGGTTTACTGTCATCCCACAGACGGTCGTGTGTCCTAGATTAGCCTTCACTTCAAGCCTTTCCCTGGTCAATCACTCAATTAAAGGATTGACCGGGTGGCTGTGTGGCCTGGACAGCATGGACACATCGTCCTACATTTTCAGCTTCGCTCTTGCCCCCAAATCCCCAGATACTTTAAAAATGTGTGCCGAAATGAAGTGAAAGTGAAATAACAGCTTAACAAACAAACGAAAACCAGCTTACTACTGAGATAAAACGTCACTAGTAGCGATAACTAGCCTGGGTCAAATTGAATGAATGGCTTGTTAGTGAATTGACGTTTCGTTATTTAGCTAAGACCTTTCATCAGTTAGAATGCGTTATTTAAAAAACACAACGGGATAATAGTTAGTTATTAACTTAATGTGACCATACAACTGTAAACTCCATTTTTTTTACTGATAAGCCCAAAGGAAAGCGCAAGCTAGGTTAGCTGTCAGGCCACATCTTGGCTAATTTAAACGTGTGTTTCTAATGTTGCTGTGTATAAAACATAGCGCAGTTTTGATAAACGTTAAGTAATCTGACAAACGTTTGACACTGTTACATACTATTCAACAGATGGCCTGCGACGAACCGATGTAACCAGATGTTAGCTACATGCTAACACTTACACAATATCAGTGGATGAGGAGCAGGTTGCTCCTTCGCTTGGTTAGCTAAACGTACAACTCAGCCACAAACAGCCTTACCTTTGGCTTTGATAGTTGGATACAGCTTCTCTGCTTTGTTGAGAAACTTTAACGCTTTCTCCTTATCACCGGCTTCGAGAGCTTTTGTTGCTATATTTATACATTTTTCTGCTTCGTCTCTGTTCCCTTCCATCTTCTTTCCTCTTCCTCCCCCGGCAGTCAGCTGAGCACCTCATACCACGTGGTCAACGGCACTGACAGCAGCGTCAGTCAGAGGGTTACTGAGGCGTAAACCTCACAGAATATCACAGAGTATTTTTTATTAGCATAACATGAATATTTTTGGATATCAATATTATATGTACACAATTAACCACATTAAGGTTAATTAAAACAACATCAAAACTTTTTGACAACAAACAATTTGACAACATGAAAACAAGTATCTATGCTGCCCTGTATCAAGTTTTCAGGCTGCGGCTGGTGGTGTGAAGGTATTAGCTATATTTTTTGTTATGCTTTAGGCAGCTTAGTACCACCTGAGTATAATATAAAAGCCGCAGCCTGCCAGCACACAGCTGATCATGTTCATCCCTTTATGACCACAGTATACGCGTCTTCTGTTGGCTGCTTCCAGCAGGATAACAAGCCATGTGAGTTCAAATAGTCTCAAACTGCATTTTTGAATATGACATTGAATTCACCTTAATCAAATGGCTCCCACAGTCACCATCTAAATCTAAAGGGATTTAAATCTGGTGAATGTGAAAGCTGTAACCAGCTGTGTTAATGACATTTAAATTAGTGCCGAAAAAGCAGAGGGGGTGCTAACGTTTTTCCCGGTAAATGTGAGAAGACTTTAAACTTTCAGTCCTCATTTTTTATTATTATTATTTTAATCATTACACATGTAAACACATACATTTTTTTAAAAAAAAGCATGCTCGGGTCACGTTAATATATATGTATCTATATGCATCTCTTTCCCTTTCCCTCTTGTCCCTTTAGGGGTCGCCACAGCAAATCATTTTCCCCAACATCCTCTTCGGCCACGCCCACCCCCTGGCTGTCCTTCAACCTCACCTGTACTTTTGTATAGGTGATGCATGTGGGAATCGTGCATTTGATCAAAGGCTATTTCACCTTCAGAAATCAAATGCACAAACACCAATGCTATTTTTCACAGAAATCTTCACTTGACTCGATCTTACTGAGATTAAATTCTCTTTTTAAGAAGAGAAGAAACAGTCACACAAACACAAGCAGCAGACAGGATTGTGAACAATATTAGTAATATTTATTCTGAAAATGCCAATCCCAGTACTTTGTTTCATCTAGCACTCAGCTATGTACAGAAGGACCTTAGAGCATGGCTAAGCTGCAATCTGTGATACAAGCATGTTGTTTAAAATACCAGGTAAGCTGCAATCATAAGGGCAGACTAGGAGCCTTTGCTTGCTTGTTTCTCATTTAATTACAAACTAAATAGGTTATAGTTTCATAAATATAATGACAAACAACAAAAAAATAAATAATTTGCAGATTTAGCATTACGACCAGGTGAAGTGAAGCACAGGCAGGGAGTGAACCCTTAATTTATTTGCAAAGTAAACCACAGCATGCTTTGGAAAAAACACCCAAGGGGACAGGAAATTTAGACACAGGTTAGATAACCGTTAATTTTCAAGTCTTGGTTGCTTGTGTACTTTGCCTGCAGTTTGAGGCATTTAATTGGTAGCATACAGTCTACGGCAAGATGGCCAGTCTAGAACTTCCCTGGAGCAGAAGACCAAGGACCTTCAGAGTTGAAGGCAACAGACAATGATGAAACACAGTAAACAATGTCAGGTTTAAAGCCCTTTTTCTGTCAAGTTTCATGTAATGGGATCTCTTAAGCTGCCGTGCGTGATGGTGGAAGTTTAGCTGCAAAGGAGCCCATGGTGTTGAGTGCTGCATGGATGCGGAAATGCAGCCTTGACTCCATGTTGTAGTCCTTGTAGTTCGTCCTGCAAAAAAATAAAAAGAGTCAGTAATATGTAACATGGCAGCAGGTTCTAGATGTTACTAGAACAAACAGGTAGCCATTGTGTTGCATGTGTGGGTTTGTTTGGTTGACCGAAATTTAAGCAACTGGTGAGTTAATATAGCAGACTTCCAGTCTAACTGGCCACTCAAAGTGCTTTAGATAACACGTCAAACTTAAAAACATCCTTTTGAAATGCTGTCCATTGTTTTTAAGGCAACTTCAAAGTTTATTTATATTCAAATTAAGAGACAGTTTGAAAAGACTTACATGACATTTTCCATTACAGCAATGGCCTTGTTGATTTCACCTTTCTGCTTGTGCAATAGGCCAAGCTCATACATGGTAAAGGGCACCAGATAGCTATCATGATTGATGCCACCATCACTGAAAAAACAAAACAAAAAAACCCCAAAAGTCATTTCAGTCTGTCTGTTAAGAAGCATTATAAAAAGCAACAGCAGCAACAAGATTTATTTTTAACACCACAGGGAGGTAAAATTGTCCAGATAAGATATTTATGCATCAATAATCAGTAATCAAGCAGAGAAATCTGCTTTATCATCAATTATTAAAACATGTAATTAAAATATATTGCGCAACACATGTAATGCCAGTTGTGTTCGTCCTTTTTAAGAGTCAGACTGGAAAAATTTAAATGTTGTTAAAGGGTCAATGAGGAGTTAAAAAAAATGTAAATAATATGCCTGTTATTTATGCATTGACCCGTCAGCACATCTACCATTCTGCCATTGATTTTCTGTCATCCTTATTAACCTGCTCTCTCCTCTCTGATTCATCCCCAGTGCTGATTGGTTGCAGAAGACCCTAAGTGGGACATTAAACAGATCAGCTCTTGGAAAAGTAGTCTATTGAAGGGATTGTTGAAGTAAAAGTTTCTGCTGAGGACTTAGACTCCCACTTGAATGCTTCTGGTGTATTGCAGTGACATCAAGACAAGCTCACCTGGAGATGACATGATTGAAGCAGATCTCAGCCTGGACCAGCCGTCCCAGACTTCTTAAGCACAGACCCTTCAGCAGCTGGACAAGGCACTCATCGCCCGTGTGGTACTCTGATGGGTCTGCACATCACACAGTAAACTGTAAGCCTTGTGTCAGTATTTAAAAACACCCACTGATTAGAAATTGTTCCTCACTTGGATCATTTCTGAGCTGCTCTTCTGCTTTCTCTAAAGTTGACAGGATTCCTTCAGTCAGCTCGGGTCTTTTGCCTACTATTGTGAAGCCATTCCACACATACATCATTTCCTGCGGTAACAGATGATTGTTGCTTACAAATGCAAAAATAAAAGACACATCAGTTCACTGAGAGAACGTGTCCTCACCAAAGCAGGAACGACAAGTTTCACGGGGGTGGAGGAGGAGTATCTCTGGGCCTTCTTCGCTGCAAACTTCTCCGTTGGAATCGACTTCCCAGCAAATTTCAGCCTGAGGCCCTCCACCTGCCTTCAAGCCACATTTCACAGTGACTTTATTTATTGATACAAACTAAATCGTACTGTTAGTATACATCAGAAAGGCCAGCTCTGTTCTGGGATGCACCCTGGACCTAGTGCAGGTGGTGGGAGACAGAAGGACTCTGGCCAAAATAACTTCTCTGATAGACAGAGTCTCCCACCCCATGCTGAGCTGCAGAGCTCCTTCAGTGACAGACTGCTGCATCCTAGATGCATGAAGGAGCGTTAGTGTATATATAGTGTATATAGCACACCTGAATAATTCCACCACATTTTCATTGAGCTTGTTCACTTCTTCCTCTGGCATCATGCTCAAGATGGCAGCTTTCTGAAATACATAGATGGCCTAGAAGTGGGGAAAAGAAAGCAACAGAAAGGTTTCAATAGAGAAAAGAATCAGTAATGTGATTACAGGCTTAAAGAGATTTTGTCACATTAGATACCTGGGACCACTTGTTCTCCTTGCTGAGCAGGTTGGCGTATCGATAGGCCTCAAACCAGTTTTGTTCAAAGGAGTAGACCCACATCAGCTCCCAGTAGCACAGGTGGTGAATCTGATGCCACTCTTCCTGCGATGCAATACATGCCAAGAACTTCTCTTGGGCCTACACAGAGCAATAACTACATGAGAGAAAGTTCTATAAATACATACATTAGACCTCATAAGTACTTACAAATGTGAAGTTTCCTTTGAGCACAGCAATCCTTGCTCTGAAGAAATGCATTAAAGCCCCCTATAAAGGAAAAATGTCAGAGTTTTTATACTAAAAAGGCATTAAAATATTAATATCTGCACGAGAAGTAAGGTACACCCACAACTTACATTAGGAAACTTTTCACAGTAGGGTTTCAGCAGAGCCTCACATTCACTTAGGTTTACATCAGCAGTCCCTTAAAGAATCATTTTCACATTAATTAAAGTCAAATGAATGATAACTTTGGTATTATTCAAGATTAGACACGATTTTTGAATTTAGGAGAAGCACAGCCCCAGCCTACAGCGTGCTCACCAAGTATCACTGTGATGTAGAGCTGAAACATCAGCAGAGTGAGGGTGCTGAGGATGGAGCGCAGGTTGTTGGTAGTTGCTCCCTCTCTCAACTCTGACAAACCCACTTCCTGTGAGACAGTTCAGTTCTTTTAACTGACAAAATATTAAGGACAGGACAACTTCTTTGGGGTGCTCCCATTTAGACTCGTCAACACAGATCACTGGCCTCCGTCTCACCCCATCCCCAGCTTCTGCTGTCACACCAACCCTCTGCATGTCCTCCTTCACTACATCCATTAAACTCGTCTACCTTCACTACAGCTTCACCTTTCCGCCTGCCTCCCTCTCATTCACACATGTATTCTGTCTCTACCATCTTTCATTCCTCTTTTCTCTATGGCATAACTCTACTTCTCCAGACCCACTTCCACTTGCTGTCCACACCTATTGTGACTGTATGTGGTCTCACCTACCCTGTCTCCAGAGAAGCCCAAAAACTCCATCAGTCTAAGGACTCTGGACGGAAGCAAAGACAGCATCTGGTAACAAAATATAAACCAAAAATAATATAACATTGTTACTAAATATATTAAATAAAACTATTTGTAATATTTTGGAACAAATCTTTTATTTTTTCACCAGATTGAATGATCCAATTCCCATGCTGACCCCACCCCTAAAATGAATGTGTGTGCTTCTCTGTTTTTCCTCATCCTTTGTGACTTTTTCCATGGCCAGGCAATCCCTGGTTTGGAAAAACATATTTACATTAATTCAAATAATAAAATATGTTTTTGGTGGCCATTTCTATTATAAACACCGCCTCCAAACCTCTTACTTGTAAAGCTGATAACTGTGTCGAATTTTCATCCCTCCTTTGATGAAGCCTATTATGCTTTCATCCAAGAACGTGAGGGCAGCTTTCTGCAGCAGGACTTCAGCATAGCACAGCTCTGCATGCATCTCTTCTGATAATGAAAAATGCAACATCATGTTATGTGTGGAAAAAAAAAAATTACAAATGTCTTGTTTTGTTTGGGTGTTTAATAAATGGCAGATAAGGTGACACAGCCATTAAAATGTCATGTGTTACCATGTTGATCAAATTCATTAATTCCCAAAGCTGTAAAGTCAGCAGATAGAGTAATTTACTCGCCTTCTGTCAAATTGTCAGCTGGTTGTCTGTACCAAAGGTTAGCCAAGCTTTCCATTAGTCCCGTTTTCTTCCGAAATCTAAAGAAGTTAAGAAACTGATTTTTAACAACCCAAAGAGATCCTAAAACTTTACACCTTATCAAATGGTCATTCTAATTATTGGGATACCTCTGGCAGACCTGCAAGGCTTCTCTCAGTGATGTCATGGCAGCATCAATGTCCTTTGCATCAAAAGTCATGGCGGCCTGCATCACCAGAATGCTACTGTAGCCCACCGCATGATACATACTTTCACTCTTCCTAGAGGATAGGAAGGCAACAAAATTTGGGGATTTTTTTGCAAATCCCCAGTAAAAATACAACCTGTATCCAAATACCGTCATAAAGCTCCAATACATGAACAAATTAAAGGGGACATAGTCAGGTTGTTAGAGCAACAGTGACTTACCAGGGTTTTAAAAGAGCCAGTGCATCGGCAAACCTGTTGTTCAGGAAGAGATTGAGGGCAGTGAAGCATTCTTTCAATGCTGTCTCCAAACCCATTTTAGGCAGTTCTTCAGGCAATCTGAATAATAATAAGAATACATTTTTTTTCAAAGAGTCAAAAATGAATATTCAAAATCATATCATATTCATATTCAAATCAAATGATGGAGCCAGTCTAAAGAATTTTGTTGCATAACTCTGAAATATGAAGGATAAATGCATTAGAACTCTTACAATAAGCATATTCATCGCATGATGTCACTTACATTGCATCCTCATTGGGCTGCTTCAAACCCACCTGAAAACAAGCAGAGACACTTGAAATCAAAGCTGCCAAAATGTGTAAGTTAGCTTTTTTATTCATTTCAGTTCAGTTCACACTGAGCTGATGTTCAGTGTGTTGATTAAACTGCACAGTAAAGCCCTTTGCCACAGCATCCTAAACAAATGAAACTATGCAGTTTTCTCCAAGGCTTTTTGGTACTGGGTTTACTGGGTGTTATTATTTTGAATTCATGTAACTTTAATATTTCAAAGTAACATGCAAAATAAAAGTTATAATAAAAGCACTTAAGCCAGAAACAACCATTAAAATTCACTCACCTTTAAAAGCTTGCCTCTTTCATTACATTACTTTAGAGAAACTGAGGGAACCTACCTGTTGTAGTGAATTGTCTTCACCCTCCATTTGATGCTTGAGTTAAATAAAAAGCAGTTAAACCAAGTCACTGAAAAATAAAAGGTCTGATATTTTTCCCTGTAGCAACAAGTCAACAAGTCTTGACACTGACTAACGGCAGACTAACGGTAGTTTGCCATTTATAAGGTAAGAAGTTGGGTGTGGCCTGGATTTTTAGGATCAGCCCACAAATTTGCCTCAAAGCATTGCAATGCCGAGATCTTTAATTTTTCTCCTTAAATGCACGCCTCTTCCTACACTGAAAGGCGTGACATTAGACATTTTACATTAAATGTACCGCTACATTTTCCTGGACATTCAGCGAATTAATGTCAACTTTTGCCCTGACAATCAGCCCCAGTTTGACTTTGTTATATAACAACAGATGAGCAATAATAGATGTGGTATCGCAAGAAATTAGTAGTTATATAAATATATGAGTATGCATAATAGTTATTATTCATAGATACCCACATCCTAAGTTCCTGTTATTCATCTGAAAGAAACAGAATGAGTGTGTTGTTACAATGGTAATGCCAGGAGAGGCAGTAGTGGTTCTATGTTACATTAATGTTGTAAGGAAGTGGAAGAAGTGTATGTCCTGTAGGAGGCAGTAGAAAATGGATGCTGATGTTCTGTACATGCCCTGAAAGAAAGGTTCAGTAAACCAGTGCAACGATACTCCATTGTAAGTGTCAGTTATTTCATTTTTATTTTTTGAAGATGCAACAATAGATAAATGAATCTGAGCGAAAAAGGTAACCGAAAGAAAAGATGAAAAGGAGATAATCAAGTACAACTTATCTCAAAACTGTACTAAGTGCATGGGAATGGAGAACCCGAGGAAAACTTTTTCCCATACAAAAGACTATTATGTCATCGAGGGGTACATCCCTCCAGCTGTTCCCCATGCAGCTGATGTGGCGTAAATGCGCTGTGGCAGTACGCAGGGTGTTTTACTTGGAACAGGTTACAGTTTCTGATTATCTGCATGCATGTGACGTCCCTGCATGACTAAATCACTTCCTTTTTTTTCTCCTAATTTCTCATGCTGCGCTACACCCCACTGTGACAAAGTGAGTGAGCTGTCAGGAGACTTTTCTACTCACCACTTTTCTAATAAGTGTCAACATTTTATACCAAAGCACATTATTCTCTACATGTACATTTGCTATGGCCAAAGTAACATTGCTTTACTTACTA